AGGGGGAGGGGAGGGGAGGGGGAGGAAGCGGCGGCTGGAAAGGCTGCCACTCCCCAGACGGCAGCTGCGGGGTCATCGAGGCCATGTTGCTCTACTCGGAAGGAAGCCTCCCTGGCCTGAACCTGAGCACCCTGATCGCTGTCTGGAAGGGGCGCATGGAACGTCTCAACCAATGCGCCCTCTAAGCTGTGGAGTCTTGTGAGCAAAAATTCTACTTTGTGAGCTACTGGCCTTAAAGTGGTGAGCGAGCGATTTGGCTCCTGCATAAATTAGTTTGTCCTGGAGCCATCCTTCCTGAGGTGAGACAAAAATGTGTGAGCCGGAGGCTACAAAATTGTGAGCTAGCTCACACTGACTCAACCTAGAGGGAACACTGGTCTCAACGTCCCACCCGCCCCGGTTTCCCTAGACGGGTCTCCCCCGGACGTGACTTCTTACTGAGACAGTGTGCCCCAGTAGCGATAGTTACACCCCCGCCTCTCTCCGGCCGAGGCAGGGCTTGCTAGACCTTTGGGACCACCAAGGGCAGGGTGGAAGGTCTCCCCGCAATGGGGCAGCTTCTGAGCAGGAGGCGTCCCTCCGTCGTCCTCAGCACTTTCCGGCTCTGGTGGATTTCGGTGGACTTTGCGGCCCCCGCCCCGAGCCTGCCGCTGTCGATGGGTTGCTCTTGAGGGAGGCGCCACCACCTGAATTCTGGTGCTCGGCCGGGAGGTGACAGCCCAGGGTCTCTGGCCCGACCCGATCTCCCGAACTCTTGCCTGGGAAGCTGCTGTCTCGCCGGGGTGCCCCAACCAAGACAAAGCAGCTCCCTGCCCCCCCCCCCCGTCTGCTCTCCCTCTGCTGGCCAGAGGGGCGGGAGGGGGAGAAAGTGCTGGATTCGCACCGTTACAGATGCGATCCAGCTGCCAGCCTCTCCACCACCCCCCTCCAGTGAACAATGTCTAGCCCGACCAGGCCAGCCCGGAGAAACTTTACACGAGGCGGTGACAAGAGCTTCCCCGCGGTCCAATTAAGCGCTTGGAGGCCCCCCGGGGGGTGGGGCGACTTCATTACACGGGTCCTGAAGAGGCATTTAGCAAACCTCCGCCGAGCCCCCTCGGGCCCCTACCGGAGGAGGCCCTGCCAGGACATCACTCCGGCGCTCCCCCCGGGGGAGGCCAGTCGCCCGCTTCGTTCCGGCTTCGTCTTCGTTCGGAGGAACCTAAACAAAGCAGTCCAGGTGGTGAAAACGCCGCGCAGCTGCCAGCTTGGTGCAGCCCCTGGGAGCCCCGGGTTGGAGTGCCCCCTCTGCCAGTCACACGCACTCCGCCCTAGGCTGCTGAGCTGAGCGGGGTTGTTGTCAGCATAACGGGGAGGAAGGGAGGATCATGAGGCGCAGGGCCTTGAGCTCCTCGGAGGAAGGACCGGAGACAAATGCGCTCAAGAGATAAACTGGATGCGGCCCGACGTAAGCTCGGGTGGGGCTTTTCCGGACTGACGGGCGGTCGATGTTGGCGCTCACTGAAGTGTTCTGGGATCGAGGGCTTGTGACTGGGGCAACCACACATTGGGGAAACCCAGCTCGATCCCAGAGACCCCCACCCTGCCGGATTCTGTAGCTCCCGGGGTTGGTTTGCTGTTGTTGTTTTTAAAAAGTTGGTCTCTTCTTCGCCCCTTCCCCGCTCTCAACGGACTCTGCTCTTCCATCGTACCTTCAGGCCATTTCGAAGCGCTGGTTTCTTTTTTCTTTTGGTCAGATGACAAAATGATCTTCTACTGCACATCCGCCCCCCCCCCCCCAAATCCACGGAGGCCCCCCCCATTTCCCGGGGAAGCCCGAGGAGGCCCAGATAAAAGCGAAAAGAGGACCCACAAAATCAAAACGGGCATTTCGGGCCCGGCTATTCAGCTCCCTGGTCTGTATCATGTGTAGAATGTAGGGTTGCCACCTCCGGGTTGGGAAATGCCTGCAGATTCGGGGAGGGTGGGGGGGCAGGCGAGGGGTCCCCTAGAGCCCACCTTCCAAAGTGGCCATGGTCTTCAGGTCAACTGATCTGTTGCCTGAGGAGATCAGCCGAACAAAATCTGTCTGGAGGTTGGCAACCCAAAGAGAAGGTGGGGAGGTGGGGAGGTGGCAGAGCTTTGGCTTCGCAAGGCAGAGGGTCTTCCTTCCTCCAATCCCCATGCCTCCAGGCCCGTTCGCGGGGAGGGGGGGGAATGCAATAAATAAATAAATAAATAAAAGGATCAGGGGAGGCGAAGGCCACAGCGCAGGTCTTGACCGCATAAGGCAGGTTCAGGTGTGGAAATGAGGCTTTCCAACTGCTAGGCTGGCAGGAGCTGGAACAGGGAGACAAAGGGGGAAGGTTTGGAAATGCACGCCCTTGGGTGGGAGGGAAGACCCAACCCATTTTGGGAAACATTGAGAAGAAATCCAGAGTTAACCGTTGCTCTATACCCATTAATCTGGAATGAAAGAAAACTATGCCATTGGCCTGAATGGAATTAAGTATTAATTACATCCAAAGCAGTACTCATAGGACCCTCGGACTGAATTTCCTTTTTTTAAAAAAGAAGTGATTCGTCGTTCATTAACCTATTCGGAATCAGAACTCTACTCAGTGAATTATATGGAACAATGAAAAGAATATATTTGGGCACAATAACTCAGGCGCCTTTAGTTTCACAGAATTTTGCTGGAGAGCCTCACTATCTTCATTTTAGTGAAGATAAATGTCTCCCCACTGAAAGAGTAAAAAAAAAACCCCAAAGATTTCAAATGTCACTTTTGAAGTTATTCCCAGAATTAGGACGTTAATTTATTTATTTTTAAAAATATTTCCAGAATTACCGGAAAGGAGCCCTCTCTTACAAGGGCAGCTCCTATTTAAATGTGGAGCGCCAGCTCAGTTACTCCTCCCGGCCTTGGTCCCCATTCATAGATAATATGCCATTCAAACACAGATCTTAAGAACTATTGGCTTATGGACTCTGGAAGCTATAGTCATGTGTGTAATAAAAGAGAATGCTTTATTGAGTTTGATGAACATAAACCTCCCAGCCTACAACAATTTAATGGTCAAGAATTAAATGTTTAAGGATGTGGTTCTGTATTGCTGAGAGTTATGAACGTAAATCAGGAAAGTGAGGAGATTCTACTGAAGGACTGTGCATATGTGCCTGAAGGTACAAATATTTTTTTTGATGTTAACTCTGAATTTAAATTAATGTTACATGAAAAAGATGGTTTTATTTATTTGGAAAATATTGTTGAAAATGATGATGATATTGAGAATGATGATTTTGATAATGCTAATGATGTGCAGAATGTTGATGATGCTAATGATGTTAATGGGCCAGTGTGTAGTAGCATGCAACCTGTGTGTGAGCATAAAAATTGTCTTTTTAAATGGCATGTAACAATGGGGCACCGTAATGTGAAAAGTGTACAAAAATTATTGAGAGAATGTAACACTAATGTTGTTGATTGTAATCAAATGCAAAATGGTTGTGATGTATGTATCAGAGCAAAGGGAAAATCCCCAAGCTACAAAGGTAATTTTACTGTCCACAGTGAGAATTTCTAGAAACAGTGTACTCAGACATTTTTGTTGTTGTTCAGTCGCACAGTCGAGTCCAACTCTTCGCGACCCCATGGACCATCTCCCGCCAGGCCCTCCTGTCTTCCGCCGTCTTCTGAATTTGGCTCAATTTCATGTTCTTACATTCCAGGTTCCTATGTAGTATTGTTCTTTGCAGCATAATGGGACCTATAAAGGCATCAGCTGGTGGAAGTAGATACTTTCTAACCTTTATGGAAGCAAAATCCAGATATGTTTTTGTCTACTTAATCAAAAGCAAAGATCAAGTTTTTGATAAGTTCAAAGCTTACATTGCATCTGTGAAAAATAAGTTTGGCAAAGTTCCAGAAGTGTTCTTTACAGATAATGGAACAGAATACAGTAGCAGTGAGTTCCAAAGGTTTATGGAACAAGAAGGCATTGAACATAAAACCACAGTGCCTTATTCCCCACAACAGAATGGCGCAGCTGAGAGACTAAATAGGACCATTCAAGAAATGGCTCGCTCCATGCTTATGCAATCTGGAATTTCTGATTTCTGTTGGGCTGAAGCTGTCAATACTGCAGTATATTTGCATAACAGAGTACCTTCCAAAGTGACAGGCCTAACTCAGTTTGAGATTTGGTATGGCAGAAAGCCAGCTCTAAAACATTTAAGACCATTTGGTTCCAAAGCTTACGCATTCATACCCAAGGAAAGAAGGGGAAAGCTAGACCCCCGAGCGGAACTTGGTATCCTTGTTGGGTATGCACTTGGAGGAAGAGGATATAGAATCATGGATCCTAATACTCATACGATCAAAGACTGTAACGTGGTACATATAGATGGCAACAGCATGTTACAAGTCCCTGAACAAGCTGAGTCCACAGTGCAAACTGAACAGCACACTACAGCAGATGTTTCTTTCAGTGACCTGGTCATTTGGCAACCTGCAGAGACCACCTGTGAACAGGCAGGTCCACCTTCAATAGAAAGTACCGAATCAGAAGGGGAAGCAGGAAACCTTAGGCCAAGGGAAACAGAGACACAGACTGCAACTACTGTGAAGATAT